TTTGACATGGAGTCTCGCTCTGCTTCCCAGGCTGGAGTACAGTAGTATGATCTTGGCTCACTGCAGCCTCCGCCTTCTGGGTTCAAGCGATTCTCCTGCTTCAGCCTCCTGAGTAGCTGGGATTACAGGCACAGACCACCACGTCCAGCTAATTTTTGTATTTTTAGTGGAGACGAGGTTTCACCATATCGGCCAGCATGGCCAGCATGGCCCAAACTCTGGGCCTCAAACAGTCTGCCCAAGCCTCCCAAAGTGCTAGGATTATGGGCATAAGCCACCACACCCAGCCATGTGGTCTGAAATGCTAAGTGAAAACAGAGAAAATCATTTTTCCCTATAAGTAGATATCTCATCATATCTCATATGTGATACCCCAAAATAAAAAACATCCACATATATCTAAAAAATCTAAAATTATTTCAATTTTAATCAATAAAATTTACATAGGAACCCTAGCTAGAAAAGTGGTCCTTACCCCTGAGCCACTTCACACCTCACACCAACCCTGCTTCCATCTTTCAGCCTCTGCCTAAATTCCCTGCAAAGCCCTGATTAGGCCTGAAGTGGCCTGGGTGAGGGGACCAGGCATAGGCCTGTTCCTATTTCTGCTCTACATTCCCCCCTGAAGCCAGGTAAGAAGGGAATTGGGTCAAACTCGAAAAGCCCCAGTTTTTAAAAAATATTACTGAGGAAGTAGCCTTAGCTCCTTCAAGGAAAAAATATTATTAACAAAAAAGGGGCATTACAAGCAGTCCACAGCTAGTAATTATGATCAATTAGCTCAAAGTGAGGTAATCCATCTAGGCTAGCATTAACAAATGAAAATTTTTTTTAAAATTTTTCATTAATCTTTAATTCTCTAAGACCAAGATCAGTAGTTCTCAAAATGTAGTCCTCAGACAGCATTGGCATCACCCCAGAAACGCAAATTCTTGGGCTCACCTCAGACCTACTGAATCAGAAATTCTAATGATGAGGCCTAGCAATCTGTATTTTAATAAGCATTCCAGGTCACAGTAAAGTTTGAGAACTCTTTAGCCTGGACTGCAAAACTCTCTGTAACACCAACCTACATTTCCCAACCATTTTGCTACTGTCCCATACACAAATCTCACACTGCAAAAAACTGTTTTATGAGCAAATCCTACACTTACCCTGCTTCTTGCTCCCTCTTATATTATTTTCCTTCCATTTTTACACAGTCTTACCCATTCTCATGGCCTGACTCAAAACATACCTCTTTCATAAAATCCCTCCTTCCCATAGCCGGATGTCGCTTTGCCTTCCCTGATTTTTCGTTCCACTCATTCAGCATTTGATACAGACACTATGGTTATATATTATACTTGTCTTTAAAATGCATTATTTTCCAAGCAAGACTATATCACTTGAGAACAAGACTTATTTTTCCTTAATCACACAGCATTTAGCCTAGTGACTTCCAGAAGTACTAGGTACATTTTTATTAATAATACTCAAACTCTCTAAGAAGGATGTGTCTCAAGTGTGGATCCAGGCCCTAAAAAGTCTGCATCCTGATGGTGGACCATCATCCTCACTAGTTCCAGCATCTCAAACACAGTACCGTGCCCCTCGCCCAACCCACCCCAAAATGATGTGGATTAGTAAAATTTTATATAGAAGTTTCCGGGGCTTTCCAAGGTCAGAACCCCAAGGCCTTCTGCTCAGATGACAGTAAGTGAAATCTTTCTCACCAGTATCAGTTTCTCTAACACATTCTTGCATGTTTGCTTTCTGTCACTCAGCACATCTTTCTGCTTCATTAGGACACGGTAGCGGCTGAAAAATTCTTGGTAAGTCCATCTATAAAAAGAAAACCATCTGAGTTTACTTAAAGAACTAGGAACTTCTCCCATTAAACCCCTCACATCTGAAAAATGCCAGGCTCACCGTGAGGGGAAACCAGCCGCACTGATTCGGATAGTTTCCAGGACACCGCATGCTCTCAGCTGCTGCACTGCCCTCTTCTCATCAAACCTACACATAAAAAATCAAAGCCATTAATTCACAAAGAACCTTGCTTGGCCACAAATTACTCTCCTCAGTCAGGGTGTAAATTCTTTTGTAAGAGTAAAATGGATAAATCAGAAAAGAAAGCATTCAGAAGGTGGTGCAGTGATCAAAATGGAAAACTATGAGAGAATGGGGAGGAGGCGACAAGCAGTAAAAATAAAGAGCTGTAAACATTACCTGCAGCTCATACCACAAACTCATAAGAAAGTCTGCTGGGCACAGTGGCTCATGCCTGTAATACCAGCATTTTGGGAGGCCCAGGAGGGTGGATCACCTGAGGTCAGGAGTTTGAGACCAGCCTGGCCAACATGGTGAAACCTCATCCCTACTAAAAATACAAAAATTAGTCAGGCATGGTGGCACACACCTGTAATCCCAGCTACTAGGGAGGCTGAGGCAGGAGAATCACTTGAACCCAGGAGGTGGCAGTTTCAGTGAACCAAGATCATGCCACTGCACTCCAGCCTGTGCAATGGAGTGAGATTTTGTCTCAAAAACAACAAAAAGAAAGTCCACTGAGCATATTTAAAACAACACAACACTCCTTTGCACTTTGCCCATACTCATTTCATGGCATGGCCTGATCAGAAGCTCTCAGAATTCATTAGCTCAGTATACAGAGCTCCCCTGGAATAAAGACTGGCCAATCCTTGAGATTTCTGCAACAGGAAGCACAAATAAAATATTCTCATTTAGTTATATTTTTAAAAAAATTACCACTGTTCTAAACATTGATAGTGTCCACATCAATGAACAAGATTTTTGTTCTGTATTACATTTTTTATTTATTTCACTCTAGGCAAATGGCATCTTCAAGTTAAACTCGCACTGAAGAGGAAGTAGAAAGTTTTCCCTTCAGCCAAATGATCGCTCCTGTGACTCTTATAGTTAAGCTCTGAGCAATCCATCCAGGCCTCCCCTGTCCTATCTTCTCAGATGTTCTGATGGTGGTGGAAGATGGGGTTGGTGATAAAAGGTAATTCTAAGGCAGAATCTTCGGAGAGTAGAACTGGCAAGAGGGTAGGGAAAAGGGCACTCATACATCATGGAGGGTGGGTGGTGGGAGCTATTACAACCTTTGTAAGTGTGCCTGGTCTTTGACTTATAAATTCCACATCTAGAATCACATCACCCCAATGAGATAATCAGACAAATACACAAAAATATTTGGCACAGGACGTTTATTATAGAATTGTTGGAACAACCTAAATGGCCATCAGTAGGAACTAATTTAAATAAATGATACTATGTCTATACAATTGGATACTCTGCAGCCATTATAATGAGTATGTGAATTTTTATTTACCAACAGGGAAAGCGTTCACAATCTTAAGTTAAAAGTAAAGATTAAACAGCAATCATCGCACAAGCCCCCTCCTTCTCTCTCTCTCTCTCTCTCACACACACACACACACACACACATAAACACACACACAGAGCATGGAAGGAAGGGATGATGGTTAATCAAGAACATGTATACCCGTCAATACCAGGTATCTCTCTGGGTATGATGGATGCTTTTTCATTTATTTTTATCCTATTCTGTATTTCCTGAAAACTGTCCTTATAATGTACATGTATTACTTTTAAAATTAGAAAAATATTTCTTTTTGTAAAAAAATCTCCAGAAAGACTGATTCTCCCGTCATGCATGGTATCTGAAGCAGGAGAAGGTGCTGGTCAAAACAGACACCCTCTGATGGTTTCAACAGTGGAGAAGCAGCAGGTAAGCATTTGCCAAACAGCCTTGTCCCAGCCAGTGCTGATTCCACCACACGCCCAAATCAACAAAAATCCCAGAGAGATCAAATGAAGCAAATTCAAACAGAAAACAGAACCAGAATGGTTGGCTGACCTCAACTTTTCAAATCTTCAGAAGGCTAACTGCTAATTTATTCTCACATTCTCAAAAGGGAGAAAAACTGGAAAAAAAAAAAAATCTACTGACTAGTGGCTTCCCTCTACAAGACATGAAGACTTACCCCAATATTTTTTCCTTATAAAAATGTAAGAAAAATATTGGTTTCTTTGGTTGGTTTGGCACTTCTTATGACATATGCACTTTTTCATTCGGTAGTATAGAAATACTTACGTGAATGGGAACTTGAAGTCATTAGGCTTGATACAGCGCACATAGTGAGGGGTAGTGGCATTGAGTGTCTCCATAAGCAAGTGCAGGGAGTTTCTGAACTGCATGAAAAAGGAGAGAAAGGGGTTTCAAGGTTTTGTCCAAAGTCAAACATGATGTAAAACAATGGAAAATTATCTTCCTATAACACTAATGGAGATAATTTTGCCACTTATAAACTTGACCCATCTTTAGAAGGGGAGCAGCCACAAAACAAGAATGCTAGGGCTTTTGGTTAAAATATGCCTAAATTCTACCATTTTCATGCTTACTCTACTAAATATAAATTCCTATACTCCCACTCCTTTTCCTCAAAGGAAGCTACAGAAACCTGTTATGAGCTCAGTCATATGTAACTAACAATATAACCTTGCTTCAAGGCCATTTAATCATATAAAGTGGGAATTTTGCTCGATACTGGAAAACATAGTAGATGACTTAGAAGAGTATAGGTAATGAGTGGGAGAATGAGAAAGGATAGGCAGAGAGAGGTTTAAATTAGGGACCTAATATCAAGACTGGAGGCTGTGGACCTGGGTCAGGCCCTGTTCCTGTCTACACCAGGTACAGGGTCCCATGCACAGGAAAACAAGCTGAGGAGTGCTCAGCCTCCATTCCAAGCCCTAAACCCCTGTTCAGGCACTAAGCATGTATGTAATATTTTCTACTCACAGAGAACATAAGACATCAAAGAAAGGCAAGGGCACTGTTCTGAAGGAGCTGACTGAGGCACCGTACAAATACAGAGACAAAACAAACAGAAAACTAAGCAAGGATGAAGTGGTCTAAGAGAGATGCTATGCGCTAGAAGCATTAAGCAGTGGATAAATTATTCTGGGAAAGGCTTATGCAGAGTCACAGGTCTAAAACTGGGTAGAGAAGAGTTTGAGTGGATGGTGGTGTATGATCTCACAGTGAAAGCTCTAGGCTCCCTTCAACTGACGATCTTACCTGGGGGGCTGAAGACGGAAGATCTAAGGTTTCAGATAAGCCAGAAAGGAAGGAGCATGGTGGCAGCAGCTCCCTAAACTCACCTGATGCCCCACTGTTTTCTTGTGCTCTTTGGCCATCTGGCCTGGTCTGCCTTTGGTGGGCTTTGCAGGAGCACGTGTGAGGAGCGTGCGCCCTGAAGAGGTGGCTGAGGTTGGACTGATGGCCTTCTCATCATCTTGAAATAGTTCTGGTAGCATCTTAAACTGGGTCAGAAACAGTATAAGGAAATTACATTCTAAATCAAACTTGAACGTAAACCTTCACAGAAGAAATATTAAAGAAAGTTGCAATAGCGACTCCCTTCCTTAAGTAACCACTGTCAGAGTCACACTCCAGAAAGAGTCAGTATCTGTGCTAAGAGCCCAGAATATGAGAGGAAGGTGAGGTACGTGCTATTAAAAAAAAAAAAAAAAATACAAAAATGCAATAATTCTACAACCATGTTTGGGAGAAAGCAAAGTCAAAACGACCGTACCCAGACTTGAAAACCTAATCCACAGGAAATGACAAATTTAAACATATTAATGGGTTTTAACTATAATTATTTTATGAGAAAAATAGTAACTGAAGTCTTATTACTTCAGTTCCACAAACTGTTTTAGCATCACATAGAGAACAACACTAGTCCAGGTTTGCAAGTTATTTATGAAGTGTTTACTCACCTGCTTTATTTGTCTACCTACTAACTCAAGTGCTGAGCACAAACTCAAAAACAATCACTAAAAATCTCAGTGAAAATGTCATGAACAAGTTCTACAACATTATTTTTTAAATTATGAATAATAATTTTTGGAAGATAATTTGGATTATAGAAAAAAAGTTTAAAAAGAGACTTCAAACGAATCCAAAGGAAGATCTTGATGTATGTACATAGCTTTACAACAGTGCCACATTCCATTTAAATGAAACCAGTAATTAGTCAAGCTGTATTTGCAACTACAATTATTTATCTAATAACCTTAATACAATCTATTTACTCTTCATAACAATTCCATAAATTAGATGCTATTATGATTCTACTTTACAGATGAGAGATTGGAGGCATAAACTCAGTAGGTGAACTGTGCTTTCCTTTATTAATAAGCTATACAGAAAGTAGAGGGTTAAAACTCATTTTATGGTATTTGGTAGAACTGACATTTAGTGGTATTTTGTCAAGTTGAAATTTATTTATATGCTTCCTGATATTAGATGTGGCAACAGATTTCATTATGGTGGAAAAATATCAAATAAGACACCTTCTGATAAGTTTATAATTCCTTTTCAAGTTGCAAGTTTGGCTAAAGGCTGCAGGGAAAAAAAAAGACAAAACACATACATACACAAACATACTCCACACTGTATTACCACAAAAACAGTTCTACTCAAAACACATAACACAAATATTAATCTTCTAAAATTAGTACTTCCAAGAGAACACATTTACACTGTATAATACTGGCTTCTATCAGGTGCAGTGATATCATGAAGTTCATACTCCTAGATTGTGTTTCAGCAAAAACCAGAAGCAAAGGAAGCCTCCAAGCTATGTTAGATAAATCACACACTGTCCCCATTTCGACTGCAATAATGTTACACAGACTGGCAGTCACTACAAAAGATTTGTCAGAATGCAAACCCACCTTGTGATGACTAAGGACTTAATAGCCAATTAGAAAACTAAGTAGAATAAAGACAACTGATTAAGGGTACCTCAAGAATCAGAACCTGGCCAGGTGCAGTGGCTCACACCTGTAATCCCAGTACTTTGGGAGGCTGAGGTACAGGGATCCCTTGAGACCGGAAGTTCAAGACCAGCCTGGACAACATGGTAAAATCCCATTTTGAGAAAATTTAGCCAGGCATGGTGATGGGTGCCTGTAGTCCTAGCTACTTGAGAAGGTGAGGTGGAAGGATCACCAGAGTCAGGGAGGTCAGGGCTGCAGTGAGCCCTGTGATCATCACATCACTGCACTCCAGCCTGGGTGACAGTNGGCTGCAGTGAGCCCTGTGATCATCACATCACTGCACTCCAGCCTGGGTGACAGTGAGACCCTATCTCAAAACAAAAACAAGAATCAGATGAAAACCTGTTCTGTTTTCATCTAAATGTTCTGTTCTGTTTCAGCTAAACTACTTTAACAAAGCAATAAAACTAGAATTTCATGGTTTTTATCATTATTTATAAATCAAACCAATAAAGATCTTTAAATAATACTTAGAGATTGGCACTATGGAATTTTTCTCTTACATATCAATCCTGTAAACTATAAACAATTAATGTCCAGTGCCTGTTAGACACTTTAACTCATATATTTTTTGAAACAGAGTCTCGCTGTCTCCCAGGCACAATTGTGGCTCACTGCAGCCTCAACCTCGCAGGCTCAAGTGATCCTCCCACTCAGCTTCCCAAGTAACTGAAACTACAGCCATGTGCCACCAAGCCCAGCTAATTTTTGTATTTTTTTGTAAAGGTGGGGTTTTGTCATATTGCTGAGGCTGGTCTTAAACTCCTGGGCTCAAGCAATTTCCTGCCTCAGCCTCCCAAAGTGTGATTACAGGATGAGCTACTGCACCTGGTCTCAATTTACTATTTTCTGAAGGCAAAAACTGGGATTTGGTCTTCATGATCTTTATATTAAAAATATTACTGATAGGAAATGTTTTTATTCTAAAAACAACAGTCCTGTCTCTTCTAAAAATACAAAATTAGCTAGGCATTGTGGCACATGCCTGTGATCCCAGCTACTCAGGAGGCTGAGGCAAGAGAATTGCTTGAACCTAGGAGGTAGAGGTTGGGGTGAGCTGAGATTGCGCCACTGCACTCCCGCCTGGGCAAGAGAGTACAACTCTGTCTCAAAAAAAAAAAAAATTCATATACTATTCCACTGAAGTTATAAGGATTCTTGAGAATAAACTAGAAAAACAAAGGCTGCCAGTTAGTAATCTAGAAGAATTCATATGAAAATTTTTAATTTTTAGTTGAATGCCTGAATATCCATTTTGTTGACCCAACTAACCGGCTTCCCACTCTGCTCTCTGCGAGATGAACATAAGACATGCTCCCCTCGCCATTCTTCCCAGAAGAGGGTCAAGGGACAGAGGCAGGGATCAACCTAATCATCAGTACAGTGTAGCCATCACAACTCTTACCATCTGGAATATTATTTTCCCTCTGGAAAGCAGTGTCTCTAGTATCTATGCCTAAGAAAAATAATTTCAAAGTGCTTTGGGGCCACACCTGGAACTGCACTCAGTATGATCCAGAGATCAGTCTCCATCTAGATGGAGTGTGTAAGGTCATGTTTCTAGTACCTCCCTTCAAACTGACATGGCAGAAAGGCTGTTTTCTCTCATGGCCTCTCACCAAGGCACAAGAGAGCTTAGAACCACTGTGAAGGCAGTAATTTCACATCAAACTGAAAGAAACATTGTATAGGGGTTAAAAGCACAGACTCAGCAAGACAGCCTGGATTTTAATTTGGCTTGAAAACTCACTAGCCATGAAGTCTCTGTGTCTCAGGTGCCTTATCCATAAAATAAGAGTCATTAGATGAACTAGCATTTTTAATACATTTAGAGCAGGAACTGACATGCAGCTAAATTACTTTGACTAACATACTAAGTACTATATATTTGATAAATTAAAAACTGAAACTAATTTTTGTTAAAAAATCATTTTTTATTTTTAAAAAGCTAATGCTGTGAATACAACATGCATTAGAGTAAGCCTATCCATAGTTACCTTGCTTGATTTAAGAACTTTAATTTGTTCTTCAAAAACGGTGTCTTTATTCTTTTCGAGAAATCCTTCACACTGGTATTCCACCTGAAAACACATGGAAAAATCTCCTTAACTGATAAAACTTTTGAATAGATATGATATGGTCAGCTCTCAGCAAACTGGTACTATCAATCTTTTCTAAGAAACCAGGGCCATTCCTGGTAAGAAGTATGTTAACTCTAGAGTAAAACTCCTCAAATATTGTTTTTCCTAGGGAACAGTGGTAGTGCTGAGTAATTGCGATCTAAAAGATTCTCTCAGTTAGTGGGTAAGCAGATTCATAAGCAGATCTTCTTCTCTCATGCTGGCCAAAGAGAGATCTTCCAAGGATGACTCCTTGTATCTCCTTCCAACCTAGGTCATCATCAAGCAGGGGCATTTTTCTCTTAGAAGAGAAATCACAGCAGGACAGAGAATCAGAAGGAACAAATGAGTGTCTGATGTGGACAGAGGTGAAGAGCTGGTGATGGATGAAGGTGAAGGCTGGGGAAATATTGTTTGATTTGGTAAAGTAAGACTACTTGAGAATGGACTATTTCTTTTCCCAAACTCCAGCAACTTCAGTTGTCTGCCAGTCAAGGGGCTCAAAGCTTGCATCACACAACCTTTAGGTAGCCCTAGGGTCATCTCAAGGCTTCCAGATGGGATTAAGGCAGACTTAGAAAGTCCTCAATCCCTGAAGAGGACCCTGCAAAGCTTACCCCAAAGCCTATACCACATCTCCTTGAAATATAAATTATTCTCATTGCTTGCGATTTGCTTAGCATGCTACAGAACTTGTGAAGCAGTAAGACTGTATGCCTTATCAGAAAGGACCCCATGAATCAATCACAGAGGGGTGACACAAGTCCACAGTTGCTATTCTGAAACCCTTGAGATCAGCTAAGCTTTAGGACTCAGAAATTTTTCAGGCATTTAGAGATGTAGCAAGTACATACACCATTTTAAAAAATATTTCCCCCAGAATGGAAGGCAGTAATCTATAACAAAACATATTCATATTTCTACAGTAAAATATGTAAATATCCAGCCTAACTGGGATAAAGACAGACTATAAATAATCTCATGTTAATTCAGATCAGAGATCAGGTTCAGCTAAATGGTTTATATTAAAAAAAAAACACTTAGTTTGTAGAGTTTCCTGGATCTCAGAATTATAGACTCATACTTATTTCACAAATAACTCAATTTAGATTAAAGGAAAAGAAAACCAACATGTCAACACTAAAGACTGCTGTCTCTTGAGGCCTAAAGAATGCAAACATCAGCAAAAGAAAAAAAAAGATACCTCCTATTGATTTTTTTTCCACATTTAAGTATTCCAAAAGAAAAAATGATATAAAGCTTTCTTACTTTGTCAGCAAAATGTTGGATGATGAAAGCTTTGTTTGATAGACGAGGCTTTTCAAAGAGTGTACATTTGTTCAAATGTGTGTTGTACAATTTTTGGGCCCAGGTATCATCTGTGCCTTTAGGCATCTATATCCAGGAGGAAAAGGAAGAAAGAAAACAAGGTAAATCCTGTGATGCTTCTAATGCATCAGCTGTCAAAAGATCTTTTTTTTTTTTTTTTTTTTTGGCTTTACCTAAGAACTTTTACAATTCAATTTAGGAGCTCATTCCTTCCATATTTCATTGTTAGAGGCCAACAACCAATTACTAATGAAGAGTATGACTGAGACCTTCTTGTGGGCAACCCAGCCTAATCTTGGGGCAGCTCAACCTGCCTATATGAAGAATCATCAAATAAATGTTTTATTTTGTTTTTTTTTTTTTTTTAAAAAACAACAAAAGCCAGCCAGGCATGGTGGCTCACGCCTGTAATCCCAGCACTTCGGGAGGCAGAGGCGGGTGGATTACCTGAGGTCAGGAGTTGAAGACTTCAAGACCAGCCTGACCAGAACAGTGAAACCCCATCTCTACTAAAAATACAAAAAATTAGCTGGGTGTGGTGGCAGGCGCCTGTAATCCCAGCTACTCAGGAGGCTGATGTAGGAGAATCCTTGAATCCAGGAGGCAGACGGATGTAGCAGTGAGCTGAGGTCGCACCACTGCATTCCAGCCTGGGCAATAAGAGCAAAACTCTATCTCAACAACAGTAACAGCCTCCCAGGTTTAAGTTGAAATATCAGGGCTATTACGTATGTTTTAAAAATTCTGTTAAACAAAAAGACAAACATCTCATGTTCTCATTTATTTGTGGGATCTAAAAATTAAAACAATTGAACCCATGAAGATAAGAGAATAGAAAGGTGGTTACCAGAGGCTGGGAAGGGTAGCAGGAGGTTGTGGGGAGGGAAGATGGGGGATGGTTAATAGGTACAAAAAAAATTAGAAAGAATGAATGAGCCCTAGTATTTGATAATAATCTAACTGTACATTTAAGAATAGCTAGGAATATAATTTGATTGTTTGTAACACAAAAGATAAATGCCTGAGGGGATGGATACCCAATTTTCCATGATGTGATTATTACACATTGCATTCCTGTACCAAAACATCTATGTACCCCCATAAACATATACAGCAACTAGGTACCCACAAAAATTAAAAATTAATCTGCCAAATAAAGGTAACATCTGGACATAGTGAAATATTTCTATAATTCAGAAAGATATAAAATGGAGAGTAGTCTCCTCTTGCCACTTCCTACATTATTTCTTCCTCTCTCTTTCTTTTTTTTTTTTTTTGGAGACAAGGTTTTACTCTTTTCACCCAGGCTGAAGTGCAATGGCACAATCTTGGTTCACTGCAACCTCTGCCACCCAGGGTCAAGTGATTATCCTGGCTGAGCCTCCCGAGTAGTTGCAACAACAGGCACACACCACCATGCCCAGCTAATTTTAATTTTTTGTAGATGGGGTTTCACCATGTTGCCCCAGCTGGTCTTGAACTGCTGAGCTCAAATGATCCATCCACCTCAATGTCTCAAACTGCTGGGATCACAGGTGTGAGCCCACCATGCCCAGACTTCTTAACTCTCTTTGAAGGCATGTATGTGAATGGGATAATTCTACACAATCCTTGAATTTTTTTCAGCTTCTCAACAATAGCATTCTCTGCATTATTTATGACTTCTAGGTTGTTACTGATTTTTTTGTTATTATTATGACAATTGCCACAGTTTTCTTCTTATGTGTATATCCTTGGACACTTTTGCAAGTATAATCAAAGGTGGAACTCTCAGCAGTTCCATTCCTGGGTCAAGGGTATGTAGTTACAATTATGACAAATGTTGACAAATATCCTATAAAGTACACTGAATGAATTCATGTTCTTCATCAAAAGTATATATGCAATATTCATTTAGTATTATCAAATGAAAGTTATCAAGTTTAAACGTGCCTCCTAGATGAGTAAAGAGCGGTGTACCATTTTTGCTTTGCTCTGCATTTTAAAAAATCTCAAGTGAGGCTGAGAACCCTTTCATCACATGCATCCTAATGTTGCAGGAAGTCTGGATGGTTAGGAGAGTCAACCTGTGGTAAACTGTAACTTGCTGAAGATAAACTAAAGAGAAATTAAGAGAAAGAATAGGTTTGCCTAAGATCACTTAGTGGTGAAGCTGGGGATCTAATGCTTTTTTCCAACTTGCTGCACCTTCAAATATTAAAGATACAACTCCATCCCTATCAAATATGTCAGTAATAACCAATTAGTTTAAAAATTAAAACTATTTAGAACTATTATTCAAAATATCTTCTGCACAGTTTCTTGCATTTCTTTAAATAAATTCTATCACTGAACAAAAAGTACTAAATATAAACAAATGAAGAAGAAAAGTGGCTAAAATTGGTAGTATCTAGTGTCAAATTTTCAAGTAATTTAGAATCAGCTGAAAAGAGGAGGGAAATTCACCTAGTTTCACTCGTAATTAGAACCATTGGGGTCTAGTGTCCCTTTGGAATGAAAGTATAACCCCTACTTGTCACCACAAAGGCATTCCATGACATACTAATGAATCTCTGCTTGAGCCCACTTATCTTCTGACCTTGATACATCTATTTTAATAAATCAAGTACCCCAGGAAATCATACTTACCTTGCATTCCTCATCCAGCAAATCTAGAATGCCTAGTTTAGATTCTATAAGATTAATACAAGGCTGATTATCATAAAAATCTATGAGTGTCCAGGGAATCTGTTCCTTCATATATTCTTCTTGCTCCAATTTGAAGACATGCTGAAATGAAAAAGAAAAAAAGCAGTCATTACTGAATCATTGTAACAAGAATGTAGTCAAGAAACAATGTTTATATAAAACACTAAGATGATACCAACATAATTTGAGATAGTCTATAGCTTTCAACAACAACCTCATGGGAGACGCATGATTTACACACACAGAAAGCAAATAAAAACAACAGGAAAACCTCAGCTACATGGGATTCTTGGTGAACAATAAATCTAGGTATATAAATATTTTAAATAGCTGATCGATGTAGTAATCTTTGTGATTTTTTTGACAATGTATATTTTCAAAACTGCACTATGTACTTTTGGCTTCTTAAGTTATCACAGAGTGCTAACAACATGGGACATAGGAATGCCTTAACTGGCATTTAACAACTTTTCAGAGTTGATGCCCTCCAGGTTACTGAACTACGCTGGGCAATGCTTTCAGCATAACAAAGTACTTCTCCTAAAGGACTGTGGTGCTGAAGTTCATGTGGCTCAGAATTAGTTAAAGGTTGACCTTTTGTGACTGCCCTGATTACCTTTGGTAGCCATGGAGTCTATGACTCACTTTTCTGGGTTTCAAATCCTGAGTAGCTGGGACTATAGGCATGTACCACCATGCCTGGCTAATTTTTTGCATTTTTAGTAGAGATGGAGTTTCACCATGTTAGCCAGCGTGGTCTTGACCCCCTGATGCCTGCCTCGGCCTTCCAAAGTGCTGGGATCACTGGTGTGAGTCACCACACCCAGCCTCATTTGCAGTATTTACAGTCTAAAGAGCTACTACAAACTTTAACAAAAAACAGTCATCCATATGAATATTTATGTAATGCTAATAAGAAAGCAAATTTCTTCTGTTTTTTGATAATGAGAAGGCAAATAGGGTACCATACGTCAGCAGGACACCCTGACTGAAGGTACCAGTATCTTCCAAGACAATGACCTCTGTTTTTAAAAATTCCATTAATTTATATGACAACAGAAACACTGCTCTAGACATTATATAGAGCATATTTCTCATACATATCTCCACGTCTAGTTAGGAAAAGCTCATGGGGTAAAGCTTATGGGGTCTTTAAAATTTTGGATACTCAACTGTCAAAAAATATGGGCATGAAGTTCAAAATGGCACGGGATCCTTGGTCAATACACTAATGCCTCCAACCACTAAGCATGCCAATCACGGGGTTTCTCATGCTAACTGCCCCCACTTTCATCCCCAGATCAGGGAACAGCCCTATGCAGTCAAGTTCTTTATACTGTGAGACCCCACATTCCTAGTCACAGCTGACTAAACCAGTGTGGGTACATGAGGGCACTCTCCTGTTAGAGATCTCTGATGAAAAAATGAACAGGGTTAATCAGATTCTCTCTCTAAGGTATTTGAACTGGGAAACAAGAAAATAATCAGGCAATTAGCAGTGGGAGTTGAAGCTAAAAGAAGCCAAAATGAATGCGAGATAAGCAAGTTGAGAGGATGAAAAGAGCATTCCAACCACTGCTGGGTACACAGGAAATTTAAAGTGAGTGAGGAGCAGCTGGTCGGGGGCGGTGGAAAAGCGAATGAGGAAAGCACGACAGCGGTGGCGTCGCAGCCATAGCTGGACGGCCAGCGGGAGAGCAAGGCTTGAGCCTCTACGTCTAGGATCAAAATGGTTTCAATCCCAGAATACTATGAAGGCAAGAATGTCCTCCTCACAGGAGCTACTGGTTTTCTATAGAAGGTGCTTCTGGAAAAGTCGCTGAGATCTTGTCCTAAGGTGAATTCAGTGTATGTTTTGGTGAGGCAGAAAGCTAGACAGACACCACAAAAGAGAGTAGAAGAAATCCTTAGTGGTAAGCTCTTTGACAGATTGAGTGATGAAAATCCAGATTTGAGAGAGAAAATTATAGCAATCAACAGTGAACTCACCCAACCTAAAATAGCTCTCAATGAAGAAGATAAAGAGGTGATCATAGATTCTACCAATATTATATTCTACTGTACAGCTACAGTAAAGTTTTATGAAAACTTAAAGAGATGCTGTTCAGTTAAATGTGATTGCAACGCGACAGCTTATTCTCCTTGCACAACAAATGAAGAATCTGGAAGTGTTCATGCATGTATCAACAGCATATGCCTACTGTAATCGAAAGCAGATTGATGAAGTAGTCTACCCACCACCTGTGGATCCCAAGAAGCTGACTGATTCTTTAGAGTGGATGGATGATGGCCTAGTAAATGATATCATGCCAAAATTGATAGGAGACAGACCTAATGCCTACATACTGTATACACAAAAGCACTGGCAGAATATGCTGTACAACAAGGAGCAAAGCTAAATATGGCAATTATAAGGCCATTGATTGTTGGTGCCAGTTGGAAAGAACCTTTTCCAGGATGGATTGATAACTTTAATGGACCAAGTGTCCTCTTTATTGCAGTGCTGTTTTTAACTTCAACAAAGGCACGGAAAGGAATTCTTCGAACAATGCGTGCCTCCAACAGTGCCCTTGCAGATCTTGTTCCTGTAGACGTAGTTGTCAACATGAGTCTTGCAGCAGCCTGGTATTCGGAGTTAATAGACCAAGAAACATCATGGTGTATAATCGTACAACAGGCAGCACTAATTCTTTCCACTGGGGTGAAGTTGAATACCATGTAATTTCCACTTTCAAGAGGAATCCTCTCGAACAGGCCTTCAGATGGCCCAACGTAAATCTAACCTCCAATTACCTTTTATATCATTACTGGATTGCTGTAAGCCATGAGGCCTCAGCATTCCTGTATAATATCTACCTCAGGATGACTGGAAGAAGCCCAAGGATGACGAAAGCAATTACGTGTCTTCACAAAGCTATGATGTTTCTTGAATATTTCACAAGTAATTCTTGGGTTTGGAATATTGACAATGTCAATATATTAATTAATCAATTAAACCCTGAAGATAAAAAGACCTTCAATATTGACGTACGACAGTTACATTGGGCAGAATATATAGAGAACTACTGCATGGGAACTAAGAAGTACGTGTTGAATGAAGAAATGTCTGGCCTCCCTGCAGCCAGAAAACATCTGAACAAGTTACGGAATATATGTTAGGGTTTAAATATTATCCTTGTGATCCTCATGTGGTGCATTTTTATTGTAAGATCACAAGTTGCAAGAAACATCTGGTACTATGTGGTTCGTCTGCGTTACAAGTTTCTGTCATACTTCAGAGCATCCAGCACTATGAGATACCGAAGACCAAGAATTCAGCATCAGAACATCTATGCATATGGTGGTCTAAATGCCCAAAATGTAAAATGTACTTAAATCATCTCACCTTTTGTCAAGATATTAAACCATCTTAGATTGGCATGTGAAGTAAATTATGGTACATTTTATGTAACATTTTAATGTTTATATTCATAAAACCTAGTGAACACACTGTTATGCCAGCTCAAATCTACAATAGCCACCAAAACCATGACTTAATACTTTGAGCCCTAGAAGAAAGGGTGGGATGAGGGCAGAAGTGAGGAAATAGGAATACTGACCAATATAATTGTGCAATTATGGAACATATTAATTAAAATATGCCTTAATATATAGTGAATTTCTAATTCTAATGTGCAGGGCAATGGAAGACATTTATTTGGACAGTAATACTAGCTAAGTTGGAAGATATTTGATTCTTCAGTGTGATTTTTTTCATTAGTTGAAGTAGGTTTTAGTTTTTTAAAATTATAACCAACCTATTTTCACACCATCTTGTAAGTTAAATGATATCAAACTTGAAAGGCATGTTCTCATTTTTCTTTTTCTGATGAAATGTCTGATAGTATCATTTTTTACAAGCAATCAGTTGCTTTTAAAATCAGAAGGCTGTATTATTCTAATGACCCTACTGGATCTAAATGGGTTTGAGAATCAATATCAACATATGCTATGTGTTTTTTGACAGAAAGTGAAAACAAATTCACTAAAACTGTTAGTATCAAAAATAATAGGAATACAGTTTTCTTGTTGACATTATGATCAAATAAAAATCCTGTGAGATTGTCTTTATGTTTTGAAGCAGGAGGATTTCTTGAGACTTTGTTGGAAGTGGGAATTGGGAGGGATTAACCATACTTGTGTTCTCCTCCCTTTATAAACTTAATTCAAAGGACTTTTAAAAGCCTTGTGCTATCTTTCCAATGAAAACTGAAAGTGCATTATTATGGAAGAATGTATTTGCAGGTAGTAACAACATTTTAAAAATGCTCTCATGTGTAAACATACTAATTTTGACCTTGAAAGATGAATTCCATCAAGAAAAATAAAATCATGCTTTAGATAATGTGTATAAAATTAAATAAAGGACTTTATTTACATATAAAAAAAAATAACGTGAGTGAGGAGGCCAGACACGATGGCTCATGCCTGTAATTCCAGCATTTTGGGAGGCCAAGGCAGGCAGTTGACCTGAGGTCAGGAGTTCGAGGCCAGCCTGACCAACATGGAGAAACCCCATCTCTACTAAAAATACAAAATTAGCTGGGCGTGGTGGTGCATGACTGTAATCCTAGCTGCTCATGAGACAGGAGAATCACTTGAACCCTGGAGGTGGAGGTTGCAGTGAGCCACGATTGCGCCATTGCACTCCAGCCTGGGCAACAAGAGCGAAACTCTGTCTCAAAAGAAAAAGTGAGTAAGGAAGGAGAAAGCTTGAGGTGGACAAGATGTATACAGACTAGAAGGAAAGAACCTGCCATCTGATAGGAAGAGGGGGTGGAGCAGTTGTGCAGAGAGAAGTGAAGATGCAGAAATGTGGAAGGATGTGTGAAGAGAGGAGAAACAGGTGGAGAGAGACAGAAAGCAGGAAAGAGGAGAAACAAGAGACTGAAACACACGTGCAGACAGGAGGCCCCTGAAAAACAGACAAACAAGTCAGTTCCTAAAGAGGGTGGTATTAGCCGGGCGCGGTGGCTCAAGCCTGTAATCCCAGCACTTTGGGAGGCCGAGGCGGGTGGATCACGAGGTCAAGAGATCGAGACCATCCTGGTCAACATGGTGAAACACC